CATGTCTTACCATTGCTGAATGGACTTTCAAATGTAGGTCAGGGATAGGATATTAAATGTGCACCGCCTACTGATGTAAGGGATTTAGTGTGGACTGTTGTATGTATGTAACGTATATGGGAACACGGACAAATATTACTGTTACTAAAATTTCAGGATTGAATTTCATTCTCAGCTGCAGCTAGCTTTGAGAGGAACGAGTGAGTGAATGTAATTTTACGTCAACACCAGTAATATAACTATCAGGTTTGCTGGGTGCTGTTGTTCGGGCTTGTAAACTTGTGGTTGATAGCCTAAGCGACATCACATGCGTTCGGGTCACAGGATTAGCTATGGCGTTCATTTCAACCACCCTGTTCCAATGTTTAATGGACCCCTGCATCCTACTGGGGGCGGTGGGTAGTCTGGTGGTTAAACCGGGTTCGATCCCCACGTGGGTTCAGTGTCTGAAGCCCATTTCTGGCGTCCCTCGTCGTGATATTGATGGAATATTGCTTAAGGCGGCGTAAAACTAAACTCACTCACTCTTCCGTAATACTGTCGTGTAAGTTATCGTCGTGGTATTGCACCTATCTTGGCTGCCTGTACGAGTTCGGACGAATGCTGGGTGAATATTGCTAGCCCACCTATCTTCTCATTTGAATATGGACAGCCCATTCAGGCACATTATACATACTCCGGGTTGACCAGTGCTTGTTTTATCCGTTTTGTGTCGAACGCCAGGCAGGGCAACATCAAATAGCACGCAGTAACGTATTTTGGTCTGACGCGGCCGGGCATCGAACCATCGACATTCCGCTCTCCCGGTAGACGATCTGTGCGTTGTTCCTTCACCTTCGATCTTGTTGCAGACAACTACCTCATTTTATAGATTAAAAATGGATATGAATATAAATCCATATGACGGAGTGCGAATAAAGTTAATGATTTGTAAGTAATATCGGCTTAATAAAAATAGTTTATTAAATTAATAGTTAATGCACCGACAAATATAGCGCAGTTAATGAACGGCAACTTACCTTCACATCTACACCGTTGATTTAAACATGGCTGTGTCGGCAGCTGAATATAGGGACCGTGTCAAATATATTGCCATGTTGCCCGGACGGCAGTGCGCATGCCCGAAATTGACTGAAGCGCCTATCAAGAAAATTGTCTGCGAGGAGATATTACAAGCGGTTCTTGGTGTCCTCAGCGATGACAGTAATTCGCTGCTAAACAGGCCATACTAATGCTGAGTCTGCGAGATTCCCCAGTGTAATGCGGAGACAGATGCAAGGTACAATCTATAATGACCGGCGGGTTGTAGCTCAACATGATACAGGGGGAATTTTCGACTTATAAAACATGGGAGTGGGCGATACGGCGGTCATTGACGATCTGGTGATACGACGTATAAGGAACTAATGGTTACATATCTGAATGATATGAATTACAATGTAATAAGAGCATGCATTTAAAATGTATGTCCACGTAAGAATTTAGTATTGGTAAAATGGTTACAATAATGATCCTTGGTAAAATGGACGTCTTGCTTCTGGAGATATTCAGTCAAGAGATTGATGATGGCCCATGTGAATACGTGTTTGCAAATCCCGCCGGAGACGCTAGATCGATTCCTAATATGGTACAATTATTAGAATTGTTGCATAATTGTGAGAATGAAGCAAAATTACATACATCGAAGAGCGAAATTCATCCATCCATTCAAACTATCGTCACATATTCATCAACCTCGACGTATAAGAAGAGCTGTGGGGTAGCCTAGTGGTTAAAGCGTTCGCCAAAGACCCATGTTCGATTCCCCAGATCGGTACAATGTGTGAAGGGCATGTCTGGTGTCCTCAGCCCTGATATTGCTGGAATATTGCTAAAAGCGGCGTATAATTGAACTCACTCATTCGACGTATTAGACTGTCATAGATCCGGTCCATTAATTGAGTGTCATTGGTCATACAATTGTAAGTTGAATTTACACCTCAGTCTTATTCGGTCGTAGGTGTTCATTTCTAAATAGACGTCAATAAAATAGCGTGAAATTCACACCACCAGTTAATTCAGCAAAGTACTCGATGAATGATTATCGTTTAATTGAAAAGCAAATCTCGCTTTGAAATTTATAACTTATTCAAATGTTTACAAATCCATTTCTTTAACAATGTGCCGGGGTTCTTGAATGACTGATCACGGCAGAACCTCCGAGACTTAACAGTAATGATTTTACAACTAGAAAACGATCGTTTGAAAATCAACATATTTAATTGACATAACTTGTATAGTCGTAAAGCCAGCACTGAGTATAAAATCAATTACGTTTAATTATGTATTGGCACGAGATATACCATTATAGTGTTGCAACGTACTCCCACGGAAAATGTCAGGTTTTTTCATCGGAAAGTGACTCTCATGAAATGAATGACTGATTTCCTCCAACTGTAGTGATGTTTCGGTCTAATAATAGTCTAGCACGGTGCGCGCGTGCTCAACACGCATCACGTCAAGGGAGAATCTCGTGCTGAATGCGTTTAGCATTGATTCTGAATCAGCTGGAGAAGTTTATCGTGGTTGCCAAGAGGCTGGTTTGGGGCTATGAGAGACGTGTTCTGATTGGTCAATTTTAGTTATAGTCTCATCTAAATATCGCAGCAGATACGCTTCCGGGATTTCCACATTTACTTGCGTATTTGACTTGGTGCTGATCACCTGTGAATATGTGTGATCCTGTTATGACGCGCTGCCTGTTTACGGTAAAGACTGTTGAAGTACGTTGTTGTCATTGAGGAGCGTAACTGATTGTGAAGGAGTTTGGGGATTGATAGTCTTTAAAATGAACAAAGGCCTTTTACTGGTCTTCAACAATAAGAGCACCGTTTCATGCAATGACATAACAGACCTTGAGGATATGTAGGGTTGTCGTTTACTTCGAACGGGTATACGTTTGGAATGGCAAAACGCATTCAGGACCGTCTTGTTCTGGCTTCATATTCAAAGCATATAAGCCAACTTATTTCATAAAAGCGGGTTCATTTGAGTAAGTGAGTTTAGTTTTACGCCGCACTCAGCAATATTACAGCTATATGGCGTCGGTCTGTAAATAACCGAGTCTGGACCATACAATCTAGTGATCAACAGCATGAGCATCGATCTGCGCAATTGGAAACCGATGACATGTGTCAACCAAGTCAGCGAGCATGACCACCCGATCCCGTTAGTTGCCTCTTAGACAAGCATGGGTTACTGAAGATCAATTCTAACCCGGATCTTCACGGGTGGGTTCATTTGAGACCCGGTATAACCGGAGTTGCGCACCTTACCTGTGTCAGAATCCGCTTTGGGGTTCTAATCTAAAATTTGAACTATTATTCTTAGGCAACCTGTTCCTTGTTACTATGGGTTCAAGTGAATGGTGAAGCCTACCGCTGGCGTCATGTCGATTGGACTTTACCCCACATTTGACTGAGACGCTGTGATATATAATAGTCCTACTGATATTAAAAACCAACGGAATCAGTTCTAGTAATCTATCAATTTCACTGTGTTGTCTTCATAAGGTGACGGGTGGGGTGGGGTGTGTGTGTGGTTTGTGACGACCATTATTGGCATGAGTATATAAGAATTTAAATATCTTGTTTTTCCCAAGTGACCTAAAAAGAACAGAAACCCGGGTCTTGTCTGTGGGACTAGCAACGGTTTTATTAGGCTCCCGTCTAAACAGTTTAGACCTCCTCGCCACTATGTTTACAATAGGGTTGTTTATTTGGTATTGATGTAAACAAAGATGGTAGTTTTGGGTCATGGTCATAGTGATCCGTAATCTGGACTAACGTTGCTAGAAATTTCGTAAATATTTATGCGCCATTTTCAATATTTAGCAGCCATATTTATACGGTTACGTTTAACTGATCATAGTTTGTGCATATGGTCCCCAGTGATATCTGGAACATAAAATAAACCTAATAATTTGCACGCATGGGGAAATTATCATGTATTAATTATGAATACATAAAGGTTGCAACAGGGTCGCGCATATATATACATTACATGTATATGTAATTATCTATACATGTATCTGGTTAAATGGCAAATGCATTTCGATAACATTATAACGGTTAACTGATCACTTTACCATCCGCGCCAAAAACCTTTAAAATTGTCATCTCGTTAATCCAAACAGTTTGAAAATATGGACAACACAGTCACCATAGAGACGCTTCTCAGGCAATGCATGGCTGATAGCATATTGTCAGGGTTAATTTTCATCAAGATAAGATATCCATAGTAACGCTGAGTCCGTTGGGAAACTATTGAACGGATTCATTCATATTGGTACATACTTATCTGACCCTGACAGTCATGTTTGTTTGTTGTTAAAATCAGCAGTATTCCAGCTATCTGACGGTTTTCTGTAAATAATCGAGTCTGAACCCGACAACCCAGTGATTGACATCCGGAGCATCCATCTACGTACAGATGTGTATCAACTAAGTCAGCGAGCCTGACCACCCGATCCCGTTAGCCTGGACCAGACAACCCAGTGATGACATCCGGCATCCTGAGCTTCCATCTACGTACCACCCGATCCCGTTAGCCTGGGCCAGACAACCCAGTGACTGGCACCCTGAGCTTCCATCTAGGTACAGATATGCATCAACTAAGAGCCTGACCACCCGATCCCGTTAGTCACCTGTTACAAGCGTGCGTTGCTAAAGACCGGTTCTAACCCGTATGATAATCCTAATGATAAGTAGAACATGGGTATATTCCCACTGTTGTTACGTAAATAACCCGTTCACCCAAATACAACCGGCAAACAAGAGTGTATGACGAAAGTAACACTAACATCTCCCTACTCTCAACCCCAACCTTATATTTCCTGGTTGTATTGTTGCTACAAACTTGATATAATCGTCCTGATATTCAGATTGACAGGCCTGATATGTACCTGTCAAGTTTAAACTGTTACCAAACAGCGATTTTTCTAAAACCCAACCTCGTTAGTCCACGCTCACTGAGGTAATCCCATTCTAAATCGACACATGCTCGGCTCGACAAGATGAGATTAAGAGTCGCTCGGCGAACGCTACCGGTATGCCATCCTGCCTGTCTGTACGTCGATGGCTTTCCGTCAGGCCTGTAGGGGAGGGATCATTCACGTCCATGGTCGGTCAACATCTTCGGAAGTCACGAAAGGGAGGCGCACATTTATGAAACGCACTATAGTCGAAGCCGGTTTCTGAGCGAGTGGCTCTACAACCGTACGCAAGTGGTCCAGTTGACTATCGTACAGGAACATGTGAGCAACAGTGTAGGGGACCGTGTTGTGTGCGTCTTGTGTATTTGACAAGATGAGGCGAATTTTGAGTCGTCTGATCACTTTAGGTTTACTGTTGTGTGTGGTCCATGTTTGGTCCGAACGGACTTGTGGAACGGAATTCACAGACCCAGGATCAAGTGCATTGTTAGCGGATATTATTGTGGAGGGTCGTGTGCGAAGAGTACCCGGAGGATCAGACCGGTACAATGTGACAATCAATGTTCGCAAGCTCAAGAAAGGTGAAACATTACTGAACGGTGGAAAGAAGCCCAAGTCCATCAGTATAGGGCCATTTGGGAAAGAAAATAAACAAGATTGTGTCGGTCAGGTTGTTCAGAAGAAAATATATTTATTTTTCCTAAGGAAACCTCCCAACGGTGGAAAATATTTGGAAATATCAGCCTTGCCAGTTAAAGCTAAAAAAAGGACTACGAGACTTATCCAGAAAATAATATGCCAGGATTGTGGTGAGTAAGAAAATTAGCATTTACATCAGTTCAGTGTCATATACCTGACACACCTGAGTCTGATTGCCGAGGTGGCCTACCTGTAATGTACCTGTTGTCAAGACAGGTGTATGTCCTTGTCATGTATAATCAGTGGTGAAGTTGTGTAACGTACCTACCTGCCCGTTGGACGAGCAGCCTCTAAGTGACATACTGCACATGGTGTTAATTGTCATACATTGTTCTTGATTGCGTCTCGTACGTTATTGCAACGGGTTTCAACGTTGGGACCTGGGTGTATTGATTTCTCTTCTTCGAGTCATCTCGTATATAAAAATAGGCCAGTTTAAATAGCTCACGCATTTACACCCACATCCACCTCTATTTCGAGCCTGTCACTATAACGGTAAATCAATTTTGTCACCAAGGCGGAATGGACAGTGTTTTAGATAGTCCAGATGGCTTAGTCCGATGAAATGTATACACCGCTGAAATTGATCTCCGACAGGTTGTTCTTCCACTGTGTGACATTGACCTTCACTCAGTCTCACTGAGAGAGCGTTTTCTTGCGTTATAGTAACTCCCAAACACGGTAATGCTGTAAGATGTAGATTAACCGTAAGAGGTTGGAGTGTACCATGGAGTTAAGGTACCGTGAACGCCTGTCGGTTTCAATGAGCCATAATCGCCTTTCGGGCAAGTTGTTACCTAATCCAAGCTTTAACCCCATTCGGTTGTTCTTTACAGCTGGTGTGGGTGGTGTGTGTAACTGACAATCTATTATGTGTGGGTAACTACCCAGTGCCAAGTCAAACATATTGTCACCAACAAATGATTGTTAGAGGTAAGGTGTTACCTAACCTAAGATCTTAACCCTTTTCGGTTGTTCTATATATTTAGTGTAGGCGTGGGGATCTTATTTGAGAAAATTCTGGTTGATTAAGTTCTTGATAACAAGTCAAATATATTATCATTATAACATTTGGTTCTTTATAGAACTTGATCCGCTGTTGAAAACGTATTATTTGTAATTTGAGAGGTGGTTGAAAATAGTAAGGAAGGCACTCGACTTGAATGTGACACTGGTCTAATAGGTTTCAATGCTATGTTGTGCCAAGCTTGCTCATATATGACAGTGATTTTTGGACAGTTGCTAAAATGTATTAATGAATAGTGAGTGAGTGAGTTTAGTTTTATGCCACTTTTAGCAATATTCCAGCATTATCACGGAGGGGACACCAGAAATGGGCTTCACACATTGTACCCATGGGGGCAATCGAACCAGTATGTCATAATGGTTTTTTTATCTTTAAATAATGAACTGTATTGTACTTATGGAAGACGCACCTAAGGCTGAACAGCCAGCCTGCAGTGTCCCAGGATGTCGGATGTTTCATTGGGTTTTAAGCCAAGGAGTCACAGCTAAAGCTGTCAGTGTGGGTGTATTGAGTGAGACGAAACCATGACACCTAAAGGGGAAATATCATTGGTGCTTGATAAACGGGTGGAATTCTAGAAATCTAATTCATACTCCCACACAACCTGGGGTCTCAGTCTAACATGGGTAAGGCCCTGGTCTAAACCTGCTTTCAGGATTACCTAAATCAACACTGTGATTTTAAGCAAATATGCTCACACATTCATTAGATTCACACAGGGTTCGAGAGTTTAACACAAAACAGATATTTCTGGAAAACGCATACCATCGATGCGGCCATCGTATGTTTTATTGATAGTCATGAATTTCTGACTGACATTTTTATGACTGTATTATGGGGCTTGCATTAGATTTCCATACTAAAAGTGACACATCAGGGAAATATCATAACAAGGCACTGAAAAATGTGTAATGTTATGAGAAAATGTACTAACCTTAAATGAGTCACTATATTGTTATTTCATGAACTTGTTAGATACCTGATGTCCACAATGGCCAGGTAGCATACAATTGACACCAGCCAGGTAGCATGACATTAACACTGACCAGGTAGCATGACATTAACACTGACCAGGTAGCATGACATTAACACTGACCAGGTAGTGTTACATTAACACTGACCAGGTAGCATGACATTAACACTGACCAGGTAGGTAGCACCAGGTAGCATGACATTAACACTGACCAGGTAGCATGACATTAACACTGACCAGGTAGCATGACATTAACACTGACCAGGTAGCATTACATTAACACTGACCAGGTAGCATGACATTAACACTGACCAGGTAGCATGACATTAACACTGACCAGGTAGCATGACATTAACACTGACCAGGTAGCATGACATTAACATTGACCAGGTAGCATGACATTACATTAACATTAACATTGACCAGGTAGCATGACATTAACACTGACCAGGTAGTGTTACATTAACACTGACCAGGTAGCATGACATTAACAGTGTCCAGGTAGCATGACATTAACACTGACCAGGTAGCATGACATTAACACATGACATTAACATTGACCAGGTAGCATGACATTAACACTGACCAGGTAGCATGACATTAACACATGACATTAACATTGACCAGGTAGCATGACATTAACACTGACCAGGTAGCATGACATTAACACATGACATTAACATTGACCAGGTAGCATGACATTAACACTGACCAGGTAGCATGACATTAACACTGACCAGGTAGTGTTACATTAACACTGTTATATTGCTTAACTCACTAAAACTAAACTCACTCACTCACTCAGTGTCGGCTGTGTACCATGACACTAACACTGGCCATTGAGCATGAATCTAGTTTCATATACTCATGTCATGAAATTAAGGTACCAGTGCTTTCATCTCTGAATGCATATTTCATAAGAAGGCTACATCCTATGCATTGATTTCAAGACATATTACTTTATTCAATACCTGGTGCAGAATATCATAATCAACTCCAATTAGCCGTTACAGCATGTTTCAAACCACTGCTCTTATTGATTCTAACCTGTAGGTGGCTCATGCTGGAAGCTGTGCCTTCAGTTTAGACCATTTATGGCATCGCAGACTGTGATTACATTTCAATAATGGCAGATGTCTTTTCACAAAGAATCCAGGAACCCATAGAAGTTAGAGATTTAAGGTTACTTCGCGACAGGGCTGCTTCTTAGGCTTTGTCGGTACCACATGTGCCACAGTTTGGCAAATTGCGAATGGGAATTTTGTCGGCAGACGGCAATTCCCCATGTCTTTGATGTCTGTGAGTGGTTCCATGGCGGTGTGATTGTTTGTTCTCTAAGTGATAGGTAATTATGTATAGACTATTCATGCTCAGACTCTTATGTAGGACGGTTTGCATCCACTTACAAAAAACATCATCGCAGGTACTTACTCTCTTGTTAAGATATTTAAAGGTGCAGTGCTCATTTAGGATGAAACAAGAAAAACATATTATTTAATTTTTCAGTCGTTTAGATTTTAGTGTGTCTTGTCATGAAGCAGAAATTATGATTTAAAAGTTCCACTTAACTGCATCAAACTAATGTTAACGCAGCAGAGAGTGGTACAGGAGTGAAATGCCCATTGTCCATGGTTAGATCCTGGTGTAGGAAAACCGTCCTTGAAAGAGATTATATTTGCGATGAACTGCAGACAAGAAGACCACATGGCTGAAATTATGAACCTCTTAATGTTGCCACCAAATATGCTTTCATAACGGGTCCTTAAGCGTCCTCATAGTACCAGTGATGTTATTGGTCAGGATAAGTTCCAAGCGGAGTGTGCTTGTCTTCAGAGGCAACTCTATGGATCAGATGTTTGTGTCATCACAGCGGTCAGGGTTGAAATTTGGCCATAATATCAACCACTGGTTTAGCCTGTATGGACTTGATTATCTCAAGAAAGAAAACTGTAGCACCTAGAACAGTTCTCAGATTAACAACATATATACATATTTACATCGTATTGACAGTATTTCATGTTTTCTGGTATTTCAATCAATGAATGAGTCCTAATGTTAAAAGGGTTTTGTAGTCTAGTGGTTAAAGTGTCACTTGTCATATGAGAAGGCACAGGTTTGACTCCCCACATGGGTACAGCGTGTGATGACCGTTTGGTTTCCCTGTGTAACGTTGCTGGAATGCTGCTAGAAACGGTGTAAAACAATACTCACTCACTTAATGCTGACTCAGACTCGGTGTATTTGTAAACGTATTAAAAAAGTGAAACCAGACTTATTATCATGCCATATTTCTAAAGTTTATCGGGTAGTCACTCCTGCTTCTGACCTAACCACCTGCAGGTGCTTGAAGGCGGTATGGTCTACTGAAGCCGATAGCCTCTTTATCTGAACACCGTCACGTTTCATCAGTCTTACAGGCGAAGGCAAAAATGAAACTTCCTCCTGTCTGACTTAAACATGTTCACAGATTGAATTCAGATTATTTTGTACACTAATTCAAGTTGAACATTCCTGGTTTGTTTTGAGGAGGAAGGGTATTTATGCAGGAAAAGATTTATTAGATTACATACTTGTTTGACTAAGGCTATGGCTTTGTTGAATAGGTTGTGTGTAAGATAGGTTGTGTGTAAGATGGGTTGTGTGTAAGACAGGTTGTGTGTATAGGTTGTGTGAAAGATGGGTTGTGTGTAAGATGGGTTGTGTGTAAGATAGGTTGTGTGTATATAGGTTGTGTGTAAGGATAGGTTGTGTGTAAAGATGGGTTGTGTGTAAGATGGGTTGTGTAGTATAGGTTGTGTGTAAGATGGGTTGTGTGTAGGATAGGTTGTGTGTAGGATCGGTTGTGTTAGTAAGATGGGTTGTGTGTAAGATAGGTTGTGTGTAAGATGGGTTGTGTGTAAGATCGGTTGTGTGTAAGATGGGTTGTGTGTAGGATAGGTTGTGTGTAAGATGGGTTGTGTGTAAGATGGGTTGTGGGTTGTGTGTAAGATGGGTTGTGTGTAGGATGGGGTTGTGTGTAAGATGGGTTGTGTAGGATAGGTTGTGTGTAAGATGGGTTGTGTGTAGGATGGGTTGTGTGTAGGATAGGTTGTGTGCAAGATGGGTTGTGT